GGCTTTTCAATGTATTGGTTGACTCCATCAAATCATTTGGTCTTAATGTTGATGATATTAGAGGTTAAGGTTATGACAATGGCTCTAATATGAAAGGAAAACATAAGGGGGTACAAAGTCGTTTGCTTGAAATAAATCCAAGAGCTTTTTATATGCCATGTGCATGCCACAGCCTTAATCTCACTCTTTGTGATATGGCTAAATCATGCAGTAAAGCTATTTCATTCTTTGGAATTGCGCAGAGGATATATGAATTATTTTCTGGTTCTACCAAAAGATGGAATGTTTTGCTTGAACATGTTCCAGATTTGACCGTAAAATCATTGAGCAATACTCGTTGGGAGAGTCGCATCAAAAGTGTTCGAGCAATTAGATATCAAGCTCCTCAACTAAGGTCAGCTTTGTTGTGGCTAAGTGAGGATGGAGATACTGAACCAAAGGATAGAAGTGATGCAAAAAATTTATATGACGTGCTTGGCAGCTTTGAGTTCATACTTGGTATGGTTATTTGGCATGACATTTTATACTCTGTAAATATTGTGAGTAAGAAGTTGCAGTCACCATCCATGTGCATTGATTCTACCTTACAACATATAGAAGGTATGGTGAATTACTTTCAGAACTATAGAAATACTGGGTTTGCTGATAGTATGGTTACTGCCACAGAAATTGCACTTGAAATGGGAGTAGAGCCATCCTTTTCAGTAAAGCGTCGTTCTATTAGGAAGAAACAGTTTGATGAAACTGAATGCAATGAAGCTATTTTGCAAGCTGAGAATGATTTTGAAGCTTTTTATTTTTTGGTTATGGTTGATATGGCAATTAGTTCATTGAAAAGCAGATTTAAAGAACTCCAGTCATTCAATGAAAAATTTGGATTTCTAATGAATTCAACATCCTTGAAGGCATTGGATGGTGTTGCTCTAAAAGACCATTGCATTAAATTTGCAAAAAAATTCTCTTCTGGTGGTTCGTCGGATATTGATGTAAATGATATGATTTCTGAGTTAGCTGTTATGCAGTCTACTCTGCCAGATAAGCTAATGTCTGCTATGGAGATTTTTGAGTTTGTCACAGAAGCAGATTGTTATCCTAATGTTTCCATTGCTTATCGGATCCTATTCACTATGCCTGTGACTGTAGCCTCAGCTGAAAGAACCTTTTCAAAGCTGAAACTATTGAAGAATTATTTGAGATCCGTAATGTCCCAAGAAAGATTAAATGGTTTGGCAACTTTATGCATCGAGAAGAAATTGTTAGATGAAATTGATATTGAGGCCATCATCAATGACTTCGCAGCAGCAAATGTTCGAAGAAATTTTTAAGGTAAGATAAGATGTATGACTTGTTTCATAAGAATTTTTTTATGCATTACACTTGTTAGAATTGTCATTATATTATTAGAATTGTATTAAAGGGCCCATCACTTGTAGCTTCGCTCCGGGTCTGTAATTTGACAGGGCCGGGGCTGTTCGTGCCCATAGATGGGGTGGGGCGATCCTCTCCTTGCCGATGTTTGGTTTTGAGGCGTCGCATGATAGGTCAAGCCTTGAAAGAAATATATTGCATAGATGCATGGTGAGTTTGCCCCTCCAATAGAGGGCACAGACTTACCCCTCTTCATGGCATCGCTCACCTTTATCGGCTTGAGGCAAGGGTGTCAGGGTGGGCACATTTATGCCGAAAACCGAAAACCAAACCGAGCCAAACTAAAACCGAACCTAATAGTCAGTTTTTCGTTTTGGCTTTATTTTTTTGTTCCGAGAACTTTAGTTGTCGGCTCGTTGTTTGGTTTTTTTATGTAGAACCAAACGGAAAAAGGGCGTGGCTAGCGCCCGGACGTCCGGACACGGGCGCTGCTACTCCATTTCACGCGCGTCACGCACACGCGGGAACCTCCGCGCCACCCGTTCGGACACCTATGCACCCTCTACTTCCAACCCCGCATGCACGCGGGGTGCACGCCCGTTCCCCACCGCTTCCCATGCCTGGTGCATGCATGGCGCCCTAGCAACTCCCGTTTCACGCGCCTGGGACCGCCCACGCCACGCCCCTGCCTCCATCCCCCTCCGCTTCCCACGCGCAACATGTGCAACCCTAGATCTACTTTTGCAACACTCAGATGAAACACTTGCAACATACGTCCGAAAACAGCTGAAACACTTGCGAGATACGTTTGAAAAACACGTGTGTAGCTATTGCAAAACATATGCAATTTCCAGATGAAACATTTGCAACATAGATATGAAACACTTGAAAGTGTACTCATGCAACATGCATGTATATGCAACATCTAGATCTATTTTTGCAACATCTAGATGAAACACTTGAAAATATACGCTTGCAACATGCGTATATTGTCATTACAACATATGCAACATCTCAGCTATACTTTTGCAACATCCAAATGAAATACTTGAAACATAAGCCTAAAATGCTTAAAACACTTGAAACATGGCGTCGCCGGCGGCCACGGTCTACCTAGTGGGGAACTGTGGTAGCCAGCAAGCTTGGGTCAGGGGGGGCGTCGCTCTGCGCGCTCGTCCCCATCGGCGTGGCCATGCTGCTGCTATTCTAGTGGTGCTGCTGCTCCGCCGCAGCCGTCCAACGCCATCCACTCGCGGGGGTTGGGGCGGGCGCGGCCGATGATGGGACGCGGCGCAGTGGGGGAAGAGCACGGTGTGACGGTGGACGGGCTGCGGTGGGGAAGGGGCGGAGTGGGGCGAGCGGATGTGCGGTGAGGCCGCGAGACCGAGTGAGGAAAATTTTCGAAGGTAGAAGAAACGTACAGGTGAGCATGCCTCTTAGGTTTGTCCGCTGCGCAGGCCAGTAAGACAGCATGCGGACGGGACATACTACCCTGTGGAAGCATTTGCGCTTGAAAAACCATTTAAATCGGACCGTGTGACCTCTGCGCGTGCTGTCTGACTTCCTCTCCCCGCTTCGCTTATGAAGCCCACCTCACCAGAGCCCACCTCGGCCCACCCTGAGCATACGAAGCCAAGCCACCCACCCGGCCAGGCCACCCCTGATCGACCGAAACCAACAATTTTCTCAGGAAGCTAGCACGTTTAGCTAGAAAATTGTCTCATGGTGCTAAAAATTTTTAGAACCTTACATTTACGGAACAAATCACATATAGTTTTTGAAAAATGATATTAAATCTAGAACGCTTTTTATTGAGGCATATCATTTGGAAAAAACCAAACAAGTTTGTTGAAATTGTTAATTTATATGAGAAATGTTGATAAAATTATTGTCGAATAATTTGTTGCAAGAAATACTCCATCCGTCTCAAATTACAAGACGTTTGAGTTTTGACCTAAGTCAAACTTGTTTGACTTCTACTGAGTTTATAGAATGCTATATTAACTCTCTATTATCGAATAAATGCACTATTAAAACATATTTAATTGTGTATCTATCAAAATTAGTTTAATGTTGTATATTTGTGTATTTAAACTTGATTAAAACTAGAGGATTGGACTTACAACAAAGCTAAAAGAACATGTAATCTGGAACGGAGAGAGCAAATATTCAAACCTAATTACAAGGATTACAACAAACATAGAAAGAAGGTAGAAAAATAAAATTGTACGCATAGAGAACAGTTGCTCTCACTACTACGGAATGGACTAATAGAGACCACGAAAAACCATTTTCTAGGGGCTGGCAGCCTCACCACCAGTGACCACCTCTGCGAAATGGTCAACATTAATGGGTCATTTCCAAAGGTTATCAAGCTGCCCGCCTGTATAAATACATTAATGAACTAACAAAGGCAATAATTTTAGGATGCCTGACTTTGTTATCATTAACAAAGGTGGCATTACTAAGATGATCGCCTCTATTAAAAATTAACAGAGGCGAAATCCGATCTCATGATGGCTAGGGGGTTATCCGGACTTTCAATTTCTCAGCATGGCTATTACTGGTGGTGCCAGATTGATGGTCTTTATGATCATCTTCGACAACGACACAGATGATGCTCTTTCGATGTATCATATGTGTCAAGGGAAGTTCTCGTGGTGTTGATCATGCGGCGTTTCAAATATTTGTGGCCTGTCGTTTGGATGGTTGAAGGGTGATGCTTCAATGATAGTCATTAGCGTCAAAGTATCGACATATTAGAACTAGACAATCCTCAAGGGCATGGATCAGAAGTGAACAATATGATTAAAGGATCTAGATTTATTTTAGTTTATCTTTTTTTATTGTCTAGAGACATAAATATACGAGAATGCCATCTGACCCTCAAGCGTTTTGGAGTAATCCAATGCTCGGATTTTTAGGCATTGATCAGCGCACAATTGAATGTCTTGTCGTTCGATTAGCTTGATTAAGTTTTACGGTTGGGTGGCCTTCCTTCTCCAACTACGGCAGGCTTAGAAGAAAATTTAGGGGGAGGAAAGCTGGACCAGCGGTGGTGGTAGGCATGGCGGGAGACGAGGACATGGCGGTACCACCGGCCGAGTGGTAGGGGGAAGGTGGTTGGGCATAGTCATGGTGACGTTTCAACCAGGTTAGCTTGGGGGTGGGGTGGAGGTGGATCCGGCGGTGAGGAGCCACCAGAGACGTGGTAGGCAGACAGGGTGGGGGTGTTTCGTAGGAGACACCATGGATGATTAGAGGTGGAAGGAGACCAAAGGAGGTAGAGACTGACCATTCCATCAGCATCCAAGGACCGGAAATAAAGAGTGAAAGTCAAAAGTCGAAACCAGTTTAAAATATTCAATTGTGAGGTCGTAGACAACTTCTAAATATAAACCGGAGTATAACTATTTTGCCGGTTGAATAGAATTCCCTTTTTTAAGGGCTTATTTGGATGTAGTTGGATTCGCATCAGTCCACATGGGTTGAGGTGGATTGGAGTAGAACTTTAACTAAATTCCACCCAACACATGTGGATTGAGATGAATTTGGCAACGTCCAAGCAAGGCATTAGCGGTGTATCCAGCTGACGTCTTTCAGCCGCGTGAGGCGCGCACGCAGAGGCCGCTTCATGACTGTGAAGAACCCGAGGCGTGGGCGCGTGGCCTTAGGTCAACAGCGAGCTCGCCCTCCGCCTCTGCCCACTCGAACTCCCTCACAAGATTGGCCACGAAGTAGCCAAGATGGAGCACGGCGACGCCCATGCCGGGACACATCCTCCGGCCGGCACCGAACGGCATCATCCTGATCTCCCCAGCGCTGCCCGCGGCCGCCACCAGGCTGACGCCCGCGCCCTCGCCGCCGGCCAGGAACCTCTCCGGCCGGAACTCACGTGGGTCGGTCCACGCCGTCTTGTCACGTGCCAGCCGCGCCAGCGGAAAGTGCACCGCCGTGCCGGCAGGGAGACGCCGGCCGTCCAGCACGACATGGTCCTCGGCCATCACCTTGTTAATTAATCATATAACACAAAGCTTATAAGCTTGCATGCGTGATGATTGAGAGCAATGACATTTGATTCTCTAAAAACTTTGGATTGATTTATTAATAATAATAAATCTCACCTTCCTAAGCACCATGGGCACGGTGGGGTGCAGCCGGAGCCCTTCCATGATGACGGCGTTGAGGTACTCCAGCCTTCCAAGTACCTCCTCGCCGACCTCCTCGGCATCGGCACCCACGGCGGCGTCGATCTCCTTCCGGAGTGCGCGCTGCACGTCGGGACGCTTCACCAGGTTCGCCATGATCCACTGCAGCGCCGCGGCAGCGGGCTCCGTGCCGGCGCCAAGAAACTCGGAGCACAGACCCACGAGCTCACCATCAGTGAGCCTGCGCTGCCGCTGCCGCTTACGACGTTTGTCGCTGCCTGAGGCGGCGGCGGCGTGCTCGTCCGGCACGCGGAGGTCCACGTACGCCGGGGGCTCGCCATGGCGGTTGTTGGGCCGGCCGTCGCGGCGGTGGGCGTCGATGAGTGGAAGGTACGTCTCCTCCTGCTGCTGCCGTAGCTGGAGCAGCTTCCTCCACCTGTCCCGGTAGATGAGTCCGGTGACCGCGGGGAGCGTGGCGAAGACGCGCAGTCCGAGGAAGCACTGGACGAGGTCGTCCTGGGCGTCGGCCATTGGCCGCACGAGGCCCGCGTTGACGCCCGCACCGAAGCACAGGGTGGCCAGCAGGCCGAACATGGCCGCGCGCAGGCTCCCCGCCGCGAGCACCACGCCGCCAGACGCGCACTGGCGGTCGAGGTCCTCGATGAGACCGCGGAGGGCGTGGCGGCGCGCGGGGCTGTACTGCCGGAGGCGCGACGGGTGGAAGATTTCGGAGGTGAGGTTGCGTCTGATCGCGCGCCAGAGCGGGCCGTACGGCGCCGAGTTGATGTTGTAGTGCCGGCGGCGCGAGAGCACGGCGCTGGGCACGATGGAAGGCGGGCGGTCCGAGAACGCGCCTCCGGCAGCCGCGCCGCTGACCAGGAGGCGGTGCGCTGTGAAGCGGTCGGTGACGAAGACCTCCGGGTGCCGGCCGAGTGTGGGGAGCTTCCTGAGGACGGCCGACTTGACTGCGGCGAGCCGCGTGTAGGCTGCCTCGCGCGCCAACGCATGCCGGTGCCGGCTGAAGATGAGGATGAAGAGCGTCAAGGGGAGCAAGAGGAGGAAGATTAGGGCGTCTTGCATGGTTGTTTGTATCAGCTCTAGCACTTGTGTGTAATGCTCGTAAGAGTCGTCGCATTATAAATAATGATAGTATAAAGAAGTTTGTCTACGTGGCATTCCTGTATTTTGGCGGCTTGGTGGTGACTAGGCTAACAACCGTTTGTTGCACGAACAAGTTCTGAGCTTTGCGAACGCACAAATTTTGCTCCATCAGATCATAAACCAACGGCCAGATTAATTTCTTCTCCCGTTATTATGAATGTTTCCAACTAGCCCGATGTATGGATATTGGACAACTTTATCTCTGATGGTAGGTGCATTTTCCCCCCTCAGAGGAGCATATATTTTCCCCAGGTTCTCCTATCGCTACAGTTGTTAGATGTGCATAAGGCCCTCCACGACGTGGAGTGGTGCCTAAAAATATTTGGAACCCATAGAGAAGTTTTTAACTTGACTCATCAAATGCCGCAGCGTGTGGGCACTGTGGCATCGCTAGAGGCTCACCTGATTTATGTTAAAACAGTAGAGTTGTTGCATGTTTCTCTCGTCCTTGCTGAGTGGTAGCTGGAACATGCTATGCAGAAAACATTTTTTAAACAAGATAGTACCGGCGCAAGTAGATGCATCGCTTCTAGTTTTCTTAGCATAGGCATCGGTATCTGCAGTGGTTCGAGTGATGCCTCAACTCTCTTTTTCAGTTTCAGACATCACTTTAGCTCAACACTGCGGAAGACCTAAGAATAGATGTACTATAAAATAATATTATGGTCCATCCATCCTCGCGTACACTCAACAGCTACCTATGTCCTCGAGGACAGATTTAACTTTGTATGGTTATACGGGTTAGATGTGAATATGGAGCCGGTTGTGGCTGTTCTCAACTAGTCCGATGCTCTGTTTTTTTTTTTTTGTGGTTATTCAACTGTTGAGCCTAATAAATAACATAAATAAGGCCATAATACTAGCAAGGAGAAATATATATATATATGGTCATAATAAATAACATGAAGTTTAAAATTAAAAACGTCATATTTTTTATAATAAAAAGTCCATCTAATTATTTTGCACGTGAAAATTTGGAACGGATTACAGAGGAGGTGGTGCGCGGTGAAACAGTCGGTCAGGAAGACCTCCTGCTACTGGGCAAGCATTAAGGAAGGGCTTCTTATTGAGGGCAGCATTAAGGAAGAGCGTCAAGGACAGCAATAGGAAAAGATTATGTAGGGTGTTTAGTTTCGCGGACTAAATTTTAGTCCCTATCGTATTGTGCATGTTTAACCATCAATTTAGAATATTAAACATAGATTAATTATATGGTTATTGGCTTCGGCTCTTTGGCTCTAGCACTTCTGAACGACGGGCCTATACACTCAGCCTTATGGAGTTATGGGGCTGTATGCTTGTCGACGCAGGAATAAGCAACCATTATTTTGTACAGTATTTGCTGCCGGCCATCCAGAATTAGCAGCAGCATGCTGGCTGGCTGACCATGCAGTGAGCAAGTCCATGCTGGCAGTAGGCTACTCTCTCAAATATTTTTAACTTTAACTAAATATATATAAAATTTTATTAATATTTATATCACATAATTAGATAGATCGTGGAATCTATTTTTATAATAAACTTATTTGAGGATACAAATATTGATAATATTTTCTACAAATATAGTCAAACTTGAAAATGTTTGACCGGTACGAATACTATAACATCATCTATTTTGGGACCAGAGAGTATCTATTAATGAACTGTGGTTCATCACTTGCTGACGTAAACCATCTGACTTTTGTCCCAGTTGGAGCAGAGCCACGGTTGACTTGTTCCTGGACATATTCCCTCCGTCTCTAAATAAATATTTTTTTTGGTTTTCATGCCGTAAGTTTGACTAGATCTCTAGAAAATATGTGCAATATTTGTATCTCCAAATAAATTTATTATGAAAATAAATTCAACAATCTATCTAATTATATTAATTTTGTACTGTAAATATTAATATATATATATATATATATATATATATATATAGTCAAAGTTGTTTCTCAGGAAGCGAAAACGACAATCATTTAGGGACGGAGAGAGTACCCAGTTATGTAGCTCTCCTACCTGTGGGAGCTGCTTCCACGTCACGTGTTCCTATAAACCGTGTTGCAAGAGAAACTAGATCGTTTTCTATATTATAATAAAGAAGAAAAAATATCCAGATTTGAGTTCATAATGACTCAATCTAAATGATTAGGATTCACAATCATACCTCCCTCACCAACTCGTAGATTATTTATAAAAGTATCTCGCACATTTAGTCAATATATCATTACTTCTTCCATTGATTATTTGAACACTTTCCTAGTGGACCAAGTTTTTTATCCATCAATCCAATAAGAAACTGGCTGCGCTCAACCAATATGTTCGGAAGAATCATTCCCACGTATGTAACCGACACTGTTGTTTTGTTTCTAGTGAGGACCTAAATATGCTCTAGACAAGAAATTTGGGATTTCGTGAATCGTTCCATGCTTTATAAAGTTCCCAAAAATCCATTCCAGTGTATTGTCCTTGTTTCAAGAAGCAGTTATTCCAGCAAAGCCCGTTCTAGAGGGTGTATACCCTGAGAGTAATCAAATCCCAGTTTTCTTGTTATAGACTAATTCATTAAAATTTTGGGGGAAACTAAGCCCCACTTAGTGTTTTAGAGTACTTCGACATCTGAAGATGATTTACTTAGGACAACTAAAAAATCTCCTACCCCTTCCAAATTATAAGTCACATTGATTTTTTTTATGCATCTATTTTATTATGCATCTAGATATAACATATGTCTAGATACATAGCAAGCTCTATGTAAGTCAAAGCGACTTATAATTTGGAATGAAAGAAGTATATGCTAGGTTGGAGGGAGCAGTGCTTTAGATTTGTGCCAAAAGAAATTTCAAGTGTTTTGTAATTTATGCTGGAATCACGACTAGTTTACGCATGAGTTATGTGACCTTTTTAAGTTAAACTTTTCGTTTTTAATGGTTGTATAGTTAATGGAGTAAAAATTAGTTCTAAAGCATCTCATTCATAGCAGCTACTTGTGTGTTGTATAGACGCTCTCGTGAGTACTAAAAATAAAACAAAAACTCAAGTATTTTTGTTTGGGTTCCTTTCAATTACAAGACTGGACTCCAATAAGATTTTGGCGAATAATATACATAAGAGTTGGCAACAACTGTACCCTGGATATCAAATCCTCTCATTGCAAATGTAGAGGTGCGCTCAAATGGAAGTAGGAAACTGCAGGATGAGTAAGGGCATATTCGAATCCACTGATGCTAACAGTTAGCAGCTTCTTGTAAAAAAAAAAAAAGTTAGCATCTAAAATTAGTACCAGTAGATCCAAACAAATCTTCTAATAGATCAACTAACTATTAGTTCCATTAATAAGTTTGAGACTGCTAATAGGTGCTACTTGGCGACTAACCACCTATTAGTATATTAGTAGGTGGATCCAAACGCAACTGTTAATAATTAGCTAACTTATATATAGTTATTTGCTAGCTAACTAATAGTGTAGTGGATCCAAATAGGACCTAAGTCTACAGTCTGATTCATATTCCAATTTCCAACTATTGGTACCTGCAGTTAATCCACATAACAGTATCTAATAATCAACTAAAGTCTGAAGTCACATGACCGGCAATTTTTACAAGAGAAGAACATAGAGGATCTCAGTTCCTGCCAAAGCGTCACAGTTTGTAGTCTGTACACGTCATAGCAAAGTCTGAGCTCCACCAGCCGGTCCTTTGGACATAACAAAAGAATGCATTCTGTTCTACAAAAGAAAACAGGAACTGTCTACAAAAGAAAACAGGAACTGGTACACATCAACGCGGGATCTTGGAGCTCTTTGGGTGCTGCAGCAGTTTCCTGGCTTTCCGTGCACTCAAGATGCTCGAAATCAGATCACTACCTACATCACATGTATTATCATAACCCATTAGCTTTACACTAAGATCCTTGCATAACACTCGTAACCTAGTTTTATCATCTTCGCTTGACTTCTGTAGCCGATCTGCCTGCTCTCGAGAGACAGTGGCATACAAATGGAAGGCCCCGGATGCAGGGCCGTAATCCTTTTTATCCCCATTTAACTCCGGATTATTGGGCTGCAGAAGAAAACGCTTGTCCAGTGAAATCCGAAGTAACCCTGGAGCCTCTGGATCATCGGGTGTCAGTGAGGAGAACATGAATGAGAATCTCCCGAATGCTAGGTCTGGCTCCAAGAACAGATCTAAAAGGGCACCACTGGGTGGCTTGAGGCTTTTAGGCAATGAATTCTTCTTCTGGTCAGAATTCAATAAGCTCTCTGAGGCACGGCGAATTTTGGAAGCTTCTCTTAACCCGCTCAATAAGGCCCCATGCATGGTTGCAGGGTATGCGCGATTCGTAGCTTCTCCAGCGAAGAAGAGTCGGTCATTCACACTCTCAGCAAGAATGTCGTAGTCAGCACCAGAAGACCCAACTCTGATATGTGAGTATGAACCTGAGCAAAAAGGATCACTACCCCATCTCGTGCAAACTGATTGCACGGGATCAGGAACACTAACACCTTTTGGGCCATAGATACCTAAACATAACAGGAGTAATATGTTAGTTCATTGTTTACCATAATGATTAGTGAAAGAAAATACCATAAATAATACATATGTGCTTATTCTTGAACTTTATGTTCTTGGACTTACAAACGAGATGTACAATGCAATCATCTTGTTGATACATTCCTTTTGTGATCTTTATAATCGAATCATCCATCAAACATTATTCAAAGTAATATACAATAATGCTATCTTCCATTCGTTTTCACACTTTTCTCTGCTCAAGTTTAAACTCACACTCCAAAAGAATTATCTATGTTCGACCTCCCCATGTGTCTCATCTATAAAGGTATGCAATTAAGTCCTGAACGGCACTTATAGAATAATTTATCTCCCTTTTTCTCTCTAGCATTTTATCAAAGCAGTCATTTGTAATACACATTTTATATT